GCAAATATACAGCTCCATCTCTATGCCGGGGCGACCATTTTGAGTTTGACTCGTGAACATGACAGAGTAAATGCAGTGCATAAGACATTGGCCCACGTACCAGTCTAAAATGAATAGTATATGTATAAGCTCATATAACTAATAAATGTTTTTACAGAGCTATCACATCTGTAGATATAGGTTACTACATCTATACATACAATTAACTAAACACTTTTCTTTTTAGGTCACTTCGTCCACTCATTCGATCTCCAGCTCTCCACTTACATGCAACTCTACGAAATCTTATCTGAGTAAACAAACACACCCACCGTAGAGTCGTTAGGCTGACAAAGTTGATGGCCTGTTTTTTTTTTGTCTCTACAGCTCGTTTAGTTACGAGCAAGGTTGTGAAGCATGAAGCATGACTAGCTAAGGTTCCTATCAAAATCTAAAGGGTACACGGGAGTATGTTCTCGCTCACACGGTGCCTTGGCGCAACGGCCAACGCGCTCGACTCGGCCCACCGCGGCTTCCCGAGCCTCGTTGAGTCGTTGTTGAGCCGACTCTACTGCGCGTGGTCAACCAAAGACACACGAAAGCGACGACCGACCAAGGGAGAATCCGCCAATTCCCCCGAATCCCCCGATCCCCACCCCTGACGGCCTCACCGGCGCAAACCCACGGGATCCGTCGCAGCCCAGACTCCAATTCGCGCCGATGCCAGCCCCCGCGCCGTGGCCCGTGTCGCAGGACGTCGCCTCGCTCGCCGATCGCGCCAGCGCCCTCTCCCGCGCCGCCGCCGGGCCCCGGAACCCCCTGGGGGCCCTCGCGGCGGCGCTCCTCCGGATCCAGCCCGTAGCCCGCGAGCTCGAGCGCTGGAGGTGGCTCACGCCCGGCGATCCCGAGCTGCCCGACCTGCACGCCTGGCTCTTCGAGCTCAGGGACGCGGTGGCCGACGCCGAGGACATCCTAGACGAGCTCCACAGCCGGCGCCAGGTCGGCCCCGCGCTCTTGGCCTGCGTATACGCCACGTTCCGTGGCCCCGGACGGAAGCTGAGGCGACTGGCGGAGAGGCTCGACCGCGCCCGCGACGATTCGGAGCGGCTGCGACCCGGCAGGGCCAGCGCCGCGGCGGGATGCGGTGTGCGGTCGCCGAACCGAGTAACCGGCTCCGTGCTCGCGGAGCGGAAGGTATTCGGGCGTGGGGAGGAGTGCGACTCCATAATCGCCAGGCTCGTCGATGATTGCGAGGAAACATGCCGTTCGGTTGCTCCGGTTGTTGCGGTGGTTGGCCATGGAGGCATCGGCAAGACCACGGTTGCTCAGTGCGTGTACAACGATGCGAGAATCGAAGCGCGGTTCGATATGAGAGCTTGGGTTTGCGTCTGGGATAGATCAGATGAGGCCCAGCTCACCAGGGAGATATTACAGTCCATTGGTTGTGCAGATGATACACTGTGCGATGATGGTCTGGCCAGTTTGGATAGTTTGCAGGAGGAGCTTGAGAAATTGGTTGCATCTAAGAGGTTCCTCCTGGTACTTGATGATGTTTGGATTGATGAGGGTAAAACCGAGAAAGAGAATAGGAGCATGTGGAAGAAAGTGTTAGCGCCACTTAGATCTGCGGCAATCGGGAGCAAGGTCTTGGTGACCACTCGGATGAAGCTAGTAGCTGAGGTTCTGAATGCGGGTCATGTGGTTTCTCTTGACAGGTTAAGAAGCAGTGATTGTTGGTTGCTGTTGAAGGAAGTTGCTTTGGGTGGGCAACCCATGGATTTTCCACCTGAGTTGCAAGAGATTATAGGAGCTATTGTTGCAAATGTTAAGGGATCACCTTTAGCTGCTAAAGCTATTGGGCAAATGATAAGTAGCACCAGGAGCACAAGGAAATGGAGAGCACTGATGAACACAGAAATTAGTGATAATATCATTATCTCCTCCCTCCAACTCAGTTACCAACACTTGCCGAGTCACCTCCAGCGCTGCTTTGCGTATTGCAGCATATTTCCAACGACCTGGAGGTTTAATCGCTATGATTTGGTCAAAATGTGGATGGCTCTCGGTTTCATTCAACCGCCAACAGATGAAGGGAAAGGGATGGAAGATTTAGGGCAAAGGTACTTCGATGATCTCCTATCACGTTCCTTCTTTGGGACTGCAAATAAAGACCAGCAAACGAGTTACTTACTGGATGACCTAATGCACACTTTGGCGCAGCATTTTTCTGCTCATGATTGCATGAAAATTAATGAGGATGTTCCTGTTGTGATTCCACCAACAGTTCGTCACCTGTCTATCTCAACTGATTATTTACCACAGCTGAAGAGCAAATACAGGCTGGGAAGGCTGCGGACATTGTTAGTTCTCAGAAGCCCATCATTATCCTCAAGTCATTTTCCTAGGAAACTTTTGGCCAAATTTAAGAACTTGCGGGTCCTGGATCTTAGTGAATCTGATATTGCAGAATTACCTGAAACTATTAGCCAGTTGGTTCATCTCCATTACCTAGCTTTCAGTGGTATAACGAACAAACTTCCCAAGAGTATATACAGGCTTAAACAACTTGAGGTGCGTGGTATACCTATATTGTTGTTCCATGATAATCATCTTGGCCGTGTTAGTAAACTTGTTACAGTTAAACATCCAAAACATGCTGTGGAGTAAGGTCAATTAAGGCCTTGGTTGATGTGTAAGGCTACACATAAGAGTTGAACTCTATTCCTCTTAGGAGACAGCGTTATGGGATAAAGGACTAACCTGCAAGGTTATTTGGTTAATTTAACAACCAGCATTCTGGTGTGCTTTCAGAATCAAACGTTACAAACAAATCCCAGGAGCAGACATGAAGTGCAGATTTTTTTTTCCAAGGAAAGAGCAACTCAACAACTTCAATCTCTAGAATTTGTTTGAACTCAACCTGTCTCTGTGATTTGGTGTCTGTGTCAGAATAACTCCAATTTGGTGGATCATGAATCTGGCTGTTCAATCCTTGATCCTTCAGAACTTTAAACTGTTACCTGTTGGTTTGTTTGCTGATCCCATGTTGGGCACTTGGCAGTCTTTTAAGCCCTCTATATTCCAGTTTTGCCGGTTTTTGTATCCTGACAAACATGTATAGTCTGTTATTTTTTGTTTTTTTCCTTTTTATTTCCCATTTGTAAGGTATACCATTTTTATTTTTCACTAGTAAACTGATCGCATTCACTATTGTTCCTTTCTCACAAGAAAAGAAGTAAAGATATGATACTTTGGGTTACATTCCGGATGCAGTTTCGATGGCTAGTGGATTCTATTCTGTGATCCTATGCATAGGATTCAGTTTTCCATAGGTCATTGTGGAATGTTGATAGCAAGTGCCTCCTTAATGTGAGGGGTCTGAATGTCTGATAGCAAAGATAAGGCCTGTTTAGGAAAGAAAAAAAAAGGAGCTACAAAGGAGCTATTGAGCCCTCAAAAATTTCCTGTTTAATAGCACTCACTGCCCTGTAGAATACAGTAGAAATGGTAGTATGAACCGAAACAAATGCAACCTGCTTTTAAAGAAATTGATTTTTTTTGGTTCTATAACAAACCTTAGATGGGGCTTGGAATATATATACCGAGTAATAGTTGCGTCCCTTTTTTGAGTTGTCAGGGGTGTAGAATTAGGGGTACTCCCTTCGTCCTAAAATAAATGACACTTTAGCTATAAATTCAGATTCATAGCTAAAGTGTCGTCTATTTTAGAACGGAGGGAATATGTCTATTTCAGTGTTGTAGCCAGGGGTTAGTAGTAGTTATTAAACGTGAAATTTTTAGCGACTGTTCTGCAGCACTATTTCAGCGGTACTTTTCAGCGATCGTATAGTGTTTTCCTCTCACAGCAAATCAACATAAGCAGCAGCATAAGCCAAATTTCAGCGAAGCGAACAAGGCAGCAGTATAGGTATTTTTGTTTTGCAAAGGAGATTAGAAGGTAGCTTTTTTTTTTTACAATGGAAAGAACAATCCATATTGTTGTTTGTTGTAAAAGAACAAATTTGATTTTGCTGAGGGATAAATAATGTCTTCACAGCTCAGGAAACTGCATCAGAGTCCAACTTAGGGTTTGACATGTGGAAGCTCATCGATACACGGGTGATGGGACTGGTTTAAATGCACGGTTTTGTACGAGTTGTACGCAAAATGTCATCTCATGATATGAGATTTTACAAATATGAAGGTGACAACACCATATTTGACAGAAATATAAATGAAATGATACTTGAGCCAATATGGGTACGCAGACACGAGTGCATTACAGTACAGTTTCAAAACACTAAACAACAGTTCCAATCTGAGAACAAGCTGTCGGTAACTATGCTTCGTTCGGTATCCTTTCATCCTTTGTCCTGCACGATAGGATTTCATTCAGACACAAATTGTTAGCATCACTGTGACGGAAGTCAGCTTCTTCTCTGAAAACCTTTTGAACGGAAGGTGCATATTGTCAGCATATATCCAGAAGGCTCCGTCAGCTTCTTATCTAATTTTTGTTAACCGAAGGTGCATATTGTCAGTCCAGAGGGCACAATGCTCTGTCTCATTGATTTACTCCATCTATCCCGTAATATAGTGCATTCTAAAAATTATAATAGAAGAGATTAAGCGAGAACACAAAAGATGCATGTGTTGTCACTTTGTTTCTTAATTAAATGCTATCATCAACATGATTAATGGTGATTGCTTGATAAGTGGAAAGAATTTAATGCAAAACTGGTTTCTATCCCTAGAAGGCTAGAACCCCTTATATTTGAGTACAAATTTTGAATGCTTGAGTGTGCTATATTACAGGATGGAGAGAGTATCAATTATCATTTTATAAGAAAGATGGCATTCTCAACTCATGACTGCAGAGGGCAAAGTTCTACATCTCACATTCTCACTGATTACAAATATTATTTCATAAGAAAGCTGACATTCTCAATAATGATGAGACAAACAACTACAACTTCCTAATGGTACAGGATATACCTGTTGATCTGCATAAAAGCTTCTAATCAACGGATTTGTTTTATGGGAATAATAGCTACTTTATCCCATTCTGGTCCATCCTTGAGTTGTAGTTGGTTCATCAAATTTGGTTTGCACCCAATTAAATGAAGAACTTGCAGAGAAGATGGGAAGCCACTTGGCAAAGACTCCAACTCAGCACAATTCATTATGCTCAGTTTTCTCAGAGTGGTGTTGCTGTTCAAGTTGGTAGGGAAAGATTTCACAGTGATCTTGGAGCAATTTTCGATCAATACACTTTCTAGTGCCACAAAACTTGGCATAGAGTGTAGAGAGGAAAATTCAGAGCACTGCTGAATGCGTAGCTCATGAAGTTTTGTTAAGCAGTCTGAACTTTCCATCTGTGGAAGGCATGTGATGTTGCAATTAGATATCTCCAGCCAGGTAAGCGCTTGTAAACCCCTCAAACAAGTGCATAGCTGCTCATCATTTATGCTTGAATGAGATATTTGCAACCTCTTTAAGGAAGTCAACACATGAAGCTCTTCAAACTTTACATCTTGACAGTTCCTCAGAGTCAAAATAGCAATTGATTCCAGTTGTTGCTTGTGCATTAAGCCATTTGTAAGGACAGTGGCAGAGCATGTGTCTAATGCAAACTTGCGCGCTTTTGATGGCGAGGAAGAGGAGGATAGTTTTAGTTGTGAAACAAATCCTGTATTTTTTACTGAGACCTTCCGCACAAATAGAGGGAGCTGAGGCACCTTAATCAACTCAGGACAGTTCAAAAGCTTCAACTTGCGGAGTTTAGGAAACATATCAGTGCTCTTCTCTGCTTGGGTCCACTCAACCCACTGAGGCATATCATCAAATTCAAGTTCCTCCAAATATGGAAATGCAATTGGATTGGTTCCATAAAATTCACGGCCGATTTTTTTCACTGAGCACATTTCTTTCAAATGCAAAACCTTGAGACATGGAAGCTGCCCGAGAGGAGGCAGGACCTCCCATTTTCTACAGTTGATCAAATGCAGGTATTTGAAGTAGAAGTTGCTCTCCTTCAAGCTTGTGCTCAGCCAGTTTGGTGATCTATTACCATGATATCTTCTAATTATAAGCCTTTTAACATATTGGTGCGGCTCAAGACCATCCAAAACTTCAGCCTCAACAGAGGGAACGCTCTTACCAGTCGAGTTCCATTCTAATTCCAGTACCTTAACATTCTCCTTCCTGTTTAATCCAGCCTTGCAGGCTTCTTCTTGCTTTGTTACAACATCAAGGTTCTTTATATGAAGCTCTTTACGCAGACTGCTCATACCATCCAAGTCTCCTAAAGTATGGCCCTTTTCATTTTTAACATGGAACTTAACTGATCCCTGCAGGTGAACCAGTTTCCCAATGCCAGTGATTTTGGATGTATCCATGTCCAAATGTCGCAGACGTGTCAGGTTTACAATATCTTCCGGGACCTCAAGGCCAGACCCCTTAGGACTACTAAAGGTTTGAAGACGATAGAGCTTTGTCAGTGCTTGTGGAAGCTTGGTGGTTGATTTGCAAAGTGCCAGGTATCTGAGGTATTTAAGGTTTCCAATCCTCTCCGATAGACGAATGATATTGCAGCCTTCCAAACTAAGAACTCGAAGGCCTTTTAGCTCTGTGAAAAAATCTCCTGGCAGTTGATCCAACAAAGAGGAAGGGTTCTTGAGAATCAGTAGTGTGCGCAATCTTTTCAGGTCACATCGGCTCTTGAGCTGCGCCACCGTATCACTATCACCAGACACAGATAAGTGCCGGATTGTCTTAGGGATCTCTTTCTTTGCATCTTCAACTCTCTCGCAATCGAATCGAGAAATCTTCTCGGCCAAATCATGCATCAGGTCGTGGATGTAATAGTACCTCCGACGCCCCAGCTTTTGCCTATGGAAAAATGACCTCTCCACAAGCTGATCAAAGTACTCGCTTCCCACATCCTCCAATTGGGCCTTCCCACTAGTTGGCCGGATGAAATCAAGGGCCATCCAAATCTTCACCAGCTTATCGCGCTTGAACCTCCAGTTCTTCGGGAACAAGCTACAGATTGCAAAGCATGGTTGCAGGTGCTCTGGTAAATTCTGGTAGCACAACTCTAATGTTTTGGAAATATCATCGAAGCCATCCTTCTCAAGCACGTTCCTCCAATAGCTTTCCCTGCGGTTGCTTCCCAGCATCTGTCCGACGGCCTTCGCCAACAATGGTGAGCCCCTGAGCTTTTCAGCGATTTTCCTCCCAATGCCTTGCAGCTCGGGAGACCACTTATCAATGTTGTCGTCACCAAAGGCATACCTTGTGAGCAGAGACCAGATATCATTGTCCGGCAAGTCGCCCAAGTAGAACTCGCGTGCTTCAAGCGCTGTCACCACTATCTTTTGCCTTGTGGTGACCACAATCTTGCTCCCCGTTGACTCCCCGTGCCTGAGGGGTGCCAGCACCTTAGCCCACATCTCACGGTAGCCAATCCCCTTCATGTCGATGTCCTCTCTGTTCCAGACATCGTCGATCACCAGCAGGAACTTGCGCGACGAGACTTTCTCCTGGAGGTCAGTTTGTAGCCTGTGGAAGCTCTTCATACTGTCTGGCACGTCGACATTGGCGGACTGCAGGATTTGCCTGGCGAGCTCAAACTCGTTGTCCTTGGCGTCAGGCCGGACCCAGATCATGAGGTCGAAGGCGGAGGTTACCTTCTGATCCTTGAACAGGAGCTGCGCCAGCGTGGTCTTCCCCATCCCGCCATGGCCCCAGATCGCGGCGATGGGGACGGACACGGGCTTGGCGTCGGCGTCGGGCGTGTCGACGAGCCAGGACACCATCTCTTGCAGCTCCTTCTCGCGCCCGACCACGGCGTCCTCGTCCGGGCGCATAGGGCCCGTGTGATTGCTGCCGCTCGGTTGGCGCGACACTGACGCCGACGCGATGGTCTCCGTGGCTGACAGCAGCATCGAAGAGCCAGCGTGGATGGCCTCCAGCTTCTCGACGACGTCCTTGAGCCTGTTGACGCGCTCGTCGGCGCCCAAGATCCGCTTGCCGAACCTGACGACGGAGGATTCAGGGTGTGGGATCGAGTCGTCGAAGTCGTCGAGGACGTCTTGGGCTTCGTACACGGCGTCCATGAGCTGCTGCAGCCACGCACGGAGGTTCCGGCACCTGTCCGTGGAGCCCCGCAGCTGGACGGCGCTCGCCACGGTCTGGAGATGGAGCAGCGTGTTCCGGAGGCGCTCTAGCGCCTTGGAGACGCCGTCGCCCATCCACTTGATCCTGTCGGAGGCGGCCTTTTCGACGACGATCTTGATGATCGGGCACACCAGCCAGCCGACCACCGCCTCCGCCATCTCGATCGCCGCCGCCGGTCGGAGATCGAGGCTGCGCGCAGCTGGTGGGGAACCAAGGAGACTAGAAGAGTGAGGAGGTGGAGTCAACGGCCGTGGGGTATTGGTCGCGCTCAACCAGTTGGAGTTGGAGGGGCTGGTTCTGAGCTATGACGGGGGAAATTCCGTGCGATTTTGGCTGTTTTGGGGAAATTTCCGTGCGATTCCTGGCACCGGAGCGCAATGCATTAACCGACTCGGGACGCGCGGCCGCTTTGGAAGTCTTGCACGCGACACGGTTTGGTTTCGTCACTTTCTGTGTGGAGGGGTGGATACTACAGTGGGTTTTATTTGGAGTGACAAAAGATCAGTGATCATTCTCTCACCTGACCAGGCATCGATTTACACAGTGTGCGAGGACATTGGCCCGGTTTGTTTGTCATGTGGGCCGTACTATTTCAGCGTACCAACGGTGTTTTTATCTCATAATAAATTAGCGAATAGTACTTTCAGCCACGGTTTTTCAGCAAAGCGAACAGAGCCATCACCCGGTGTGTCCTTCGAATCGATGCTCAAACATCTCTCCTGACCAGGCATGGATTTTACACGACGTGCGAGGTGATGATGAAACAAAAAAGCCAGCACCGGTGATTCGATTCTACTTATCGTGATACTTGGTATTTAGTATGTTGCGGCCTTTAACCACAACAGGTTGCAAAGTGGAGAGAACCATAATCATAACCCTTATAATCACAACTATATGTAAAAGTAGTGGGAACTATAGTCACACCACTGCAATGATCCTAAATCACAAAGCAACAAGAAGGGGACAAATAGCTAGAACCCTACAAACATGGTCAACATGATGAAAATTGGATGGCAACGGTGTTATCTTTGATGGGTATTGGCAAAACAGTCTGCGCGTGAGTCCTGACACAAGAAATTCCCCTGTTCCCCGTCCCTGACCCCCGTGTTGGGGCTAGGTATTCCCCGTCCTCATCCTCAAACAAGCAATTTGTCAACTTATAAGTGTAATTGCACCATCAACACAATATGCTATATTTAATACATAAACATAAGTTCTTAGTATATAAAATATGTCTCAAAATATGTTATCATGTATCTTGTACCATAGATCTCATTGCAAGTGCAGACTTGTTAGCGCTCGGACGTCCGTTCCAGAACGCTAGCGCCGGACGGTGCCACGCACATAGGAAGTGGAGCTCGCGCTACCTGTTTTTGCGCACCCCACGACGTGGACCCCACGTTGCTTCTTGCCCTAATATCACACTCGCTCTGCTTGCCTGACCACCGCACGCCCGCGCCTGCACGCGGGAACACCATGTGGGTCCCAATCACCTACCACGACAAGTGGGTCCTATTACAACATGTGCAACACCAGATCTAGTTTTACAACATCCATATGAAACACTTGCAGCATACGTCCGAAACAGTTGAAACACTTACAACATTCATCTGAAACACTTGCAAAACACCCAAAAAAAACTTGAAAACACGTGTAGCATTGAAAACAATCCAGATAAAATGTTTGCAACATACATATAAAAACACCTAAAACACTTGAAACATACGCTTGCAATATGCATGTATATGCATCATCTAGATCTATTTTTGTAATATCTAGATAAAAGCACTTGCAATATACGTCTGAAACAGATGAAATATTTTGAACAAACACTTGCAACATACGTGTATAGCAATTGCAACATGTGCAACATTTCGATCTACTTTTGCAACATCCATATAAAACACTTGCAACATACATCTAAAACACTTGAAACATACGTTTACATCATGCGTTTTCAGTGCAACATCTCCTTACTGCTTGGGAGAATGGAGGCTCATTGGCGTGGGAGTTCACCAGTGCAGAGCTCGACGCTCCGGTGGAGAAGGCCGTGGCGGATCTAGCGCGAGCTATCACCGCTCCGGTGGAGAAGGCAGTTGAAAGTCCTAGTTTGGTTTTGGTGAATTGATGAAACCCTAAATGCTAACCTAGTTTATCAAAGTGGTCATGAGATAGGTAGCACTATTCCAAGTATGGAGCAAATGGTGAAGATCATGATGATGGTGTGACCATGGTGATGATCAAGTGCTTGAACTTAAAAAAGAAGAAAGAGAAAAACAAAAAGCTCAAGGCAAGGATGTGGAGCCGATCAAGAACCTGAAAGGGGCCTAAAGGCTCATCGGATGCTTGGCAGTGCTCAGCCGCTTCATATCCCGCGTCGAGGAGCAAGGTATGCCGCTATACAAGCTCCTTAAGAAATCTGAACATTTTTAGTGGACGCAGGAAGCCCAAAAGGCGTTGGCCTGGTTGAAAGACTTCCTGACTACACCATCGGTCTTGACCTCCCCCTCTGAGGGAGAGACCCTGCTTCTGTACACCGCTACCACTCCACACACCGCCAGCGTGGCTCTGGTCATGGAACGGGAGGAGGAGGGCCATGCGCTCAAGGTTCAATGGCCGATGTACTTCATCAGCGAGGTCCTCTCCGATTCAAAGACCCGCTACTCGAAGGTTCAGAAACTCCTCTACGTCGTGCTCATCACCAAGCGCAAGCTCCGACACTATTTCGATAGCCACCCGGTGGTGGTCGTGTCCTTCAACGGCCTTGGGGACATCATAAATAATCAGGAGTCCACGAGCCACATTGCCAAATGGGGGCTCGAGCTCATGGGCCTCAACATCACATACGCCCCTCGCACGACGATCAAGTCCCAAGTGCTCACCGCTTTTGTGGAAGAGTGGACGGAGGAGGAAGCCTCAACTGCTCCTGTCAAGTTGGAGTACTAGACTATGTACTTCGACGACTTCCTCACGCTCAAGGGGGCGGGCGCAGGGGTCCTCCTCATATCCCCCAGCGACGATAAGCTAAGGTATGCTCTTTAGCTCCATTTCCAGGCCACTAACAATGTTGTAGAGTATGAGGCACTCCTTCATGGCATCTAGGTGGCCGTTGAGCTCAGCGCATGGCGCCTCTTCATTTGAGGGGACTCTGAGCTGGTAATCAACCAGATCATGAAGGAGTCAGCCTGCCGGAACATGAGGATGAAGGCCTATTGCTCAGAGGTCCAGAAATTAGAGGAGAAGTTCGATGGCATCGAGCTCCATCACGTCCTCCGGAGGGATAACGAGGAAGTTGATGCCCTGTCAAAGCTAGCATCCTCTCAAAAGGACCCACCGTTGGGGTCTTCCTCGATGTCCTCGACACCCCCTCGATCCGCCTCGAAGGAGAGGTGGGAACGGCCACCAGGGAGACTGCCTCTAACATGGCCATGGCCGACGATGGGTCACCACCCCCCGAGGGGTGCGTGCTAGCTATCACCACGTGCGGCCATAGGGGGATCAAACTACTAGCTAGCCCTCTCCCTTACCCTCCGGTACAAACCCGAAAGCGCGGGCGACAGGAGCTCGCCGCCCCCGATGAAGAAGGTGACGGCCCCGATGCAAGGGACTTCAAAGAGCCCCCGACGTAGATGGATGACTCGCTCGGCCAATGGGACACACCCTCTGTGAACTCAGTGCCGCCCCTTACCGATGAGGCGGGTGTGCTGGTAGAAGACTCCCCCAACCGCCTAGGACCCAAAGGACTGGATGACGCCCTTCCTCGACTTCCTCAGACAGGGTATCCTCCCCAATGATGTCGCCGACACCCATAGATTGGTCTAGCGTGCCAAGAGCTATAAGCTCGTGGATGGACAGCTCTACCGCCGAAGAGCCTCCGAGGTGCTCCTCCGGTGTGTCTTCCCGGAGGAAGGAAAGAAGCTGCTCCTCGACATCCATGCCAGCATCTGCGCGCACCACACTGCCCCGAGGGCCCTCATAGGGAAAGCCTTCAGACACGGGTTGTACTGGCTGACGGCCCTCTGAAAGGTCCTAATGGCTAGGAGGGGGGTGAATAGCCTATTAAAAATTTCTACAACAACACTTAGCAAACCGGTTAGACAAATATGAGGCAAAGCGAGTCTTGTGCTAGCCTACTAAAAATGCAAGCCACCTACCATAATTCTAGTTTCTATAGTCTCTATCCACACAATGGCTATGTGGCTACACTAAGTTAGTATGCTCCCAAATGCTAACTAAAGAGCCACACTAACCAAACTAATCAAGCTCTCACGACTAGCTACACTAAAGAGCTTGACAACTAGTTTGTGGTATTGTAAAGAGAGAGAGCTAGATGGTTATACCGTTGAGTCAAGGAATGAACCAATCAATCACAAGAATGAATACCAATCACCTCAGAATCAAATGTTGACAATGATTTTTTACCGAGGTTCACTTGCTTGCTGGCAAGCTAGTCCTCGTTGTGGCGATTCACTCACTTTGAGGTTGAAAGCATCTAGGCCCCTAGTTGGGTTTCGGTGATTAATGATAATACGTGATTACTATGACTAACATGTGTTTTGTAGAGGCAATTAAGTTAGGTCATGGTAATGGAAATTGATTGGGCAATCATGGTGGTCATGCCCCTACGATGGAAATCGTTTCGATTTTCAAAGGATGGACAACAAGGTTAAGGATGGACTAGTTCTAAGTGTGGTTTGTAGTTGAAGAGACACTTAGAGTAGTTTAGGACTTTGTTTTTCCTTTGGCCATACTATTAAGGGGGTATAGACGGATAGCTTGACCTAGGTGAGTCTAGTGGGTTAGGTGTGGTGCACACTTATCAAATCTAGCACTAGGTAGCTCCTAAAAAGCCTTTAGATCAATTGGAGCAAACTTCATTCACATATGATTGTGAGATGGAAGTGAATGGAGGGTCAAATACTGATCGGATGCTGGTTCCGGTGTGACCGGACACTAGCGCAGAGTCCGGTCAGTTCATTTGATCAAGGTGAATTCGTCTGGTGTGATCGGACGCTGAGAGGTGAGCGACCGAACGCTGAGTGCCAGCGTTCGGTCGACTCCAGTAAGGTTCCAGAGAGGGAAAATTGTGATCGGACGCGTTCGGTCACAACTTAAACACTATGTTTCAGGGAGAACTGACCAGAGCGTCCGGTCAACT